TTTTTTTTTTTTTTTTTTTTTTTTTGGTTTTTTTACAGTACACCTAATATTTAGAAGGGCAAGAAGCTCTATCATCTCCTTTTTTAAAATGATTTAGGTTGGGAAAGTTCTTTTTTTCTTCCAAGTATGAAAATCTGTTGAGATTTTGATTGAAATTTCATTGTGTGTGTGGGTATACATACATACAGAATTTTAGAGAAAATTTCTATTTTTATTTTTATTTGATTGAACTTTTGTTTTCATTAACATGGTGTATCTCTGCATTTAAGTATTTTTTAATATCTATCAATAATGTTTTACAATGTTCCTTTTGTATTACACAACATTTGTCAGATTCTTAGGTATAATTTTTAAAATTTATTTTCCATATGTTTCTGAATTAAAATTATGATCATTATTTAACAAACATCCTAAACTCACCTATTAATTTTAAACATTTGTTGATTTTTCAAAGCTTTCTCTGTAGATGTTATATCATCTGCTAACAATGATGCCTTAATTCTTCCTTTTCAATTCTTATGCATATTTACTAAGATTAAACTATCCTAACAAATTAAGATTGCTCTCTATAGAATAATCATATTTTATTTGCATAATATTCTATATGTCTTATTATTTCAACCCCCAAATCATCTACTGGTTGTTTAAATCTCCTCTCAGGTTTTTTAGCTGCACCCAGGCTCCTCTCAATTTCATCTCTTTGCAGAATTCTTCCCCAGACATGTATGAAATATTCCTGTCTGGTCAAGTTTCCTTCTACACGGCAGACACATGTTATCCCTGTCATGCTGGAGTATCCTTCCACTTCTCTCCTATATTGCCTTTCATATTGCCTTTGTGTCTCATAGTATCTGTATTTCTTAAATTACTTTTTCACTTTGGTGGAGCATATCCTCCAATACATTCTGAGAAAAGGAGAATGGGAGGTAAATTTTATAAAACAACGTATATTTGAAAATGTCTCCAATTTACTCTCACACTTGATGGATACTTAGATTGGATATAGAATTCTAGGATGGAATTCATTTTCCTTCAGATTTGAACCAATTGCTCTATTCTAGCTTCCAGTGTTGATCTTAAGAAGTCAGTTATTCTGATTATTGATTCTTTTTGTGACTTGTTTTTCCTTCTCTGAAATGTGTTATGCTCTCTGTTTCCTCAATAGTGGGGTAGGTATATGTATAATTTTACCCTTTTTGCTGACTACTCACTGATTCCTGACTATCTAGAAATTACTTTTCTTTAGTGCTGTGAAATGTACCTGATTTTTTTGAACTTTATCTTTCATTTTTCCTATTTATTTTTGGAAGTAGTAGTGTTTAAATATTGCACATCCTGAACTTTTCCTCTAATATTCTTTTTTTTTTTTTTTTTTTGCTCTTTCATTACTATCTTTTTGTTCTATTTACCAGTGTATTTTTTATACTTTATGATCTACTTATTGAATTTTTCATTTATAATAATATATTTTTTATTGTTAAAAAGGCTTTTTCCTTGTGCGAATACACCTATCCTTATTGCAACAATCAGTGTGGTCTCCCATCTCTCTGAGTATATTAATGTTGGCTTATTCTTAGCATTGTTCTACCTATGTAGCCTTTGTTCCACAAGTTATTTCTTCTTCTGTTTTCCCGGTCTTTTGGTAACTTTAACATTTTCTTAAGATATATGGTGATTCTGCGTTTTCAATCCATAGTTAAGATTAGAAACTTGATTGGAAGCTCTGACTTTTTGGGAGGAACTTGTCCATTGTGAGTGGATGTGGGGTTGAAGAGATCTGGGAAGGCTCACTGTGTAAGGTAAAGGTTTTGGAGATTTCTCGTTTTCAGTATGGAACCTCGGTATCAAACGCATCAAATGCCTTCCAAGTCACAGAGATCCCCTGTTTTATCCTCTTGGTAGAATAAATCTGAAATCTTCTTCCAGAGAACTCCCTGCCAGGAGCTAGGAGAGCCTGACTTTCTGGGTAAGAGAAAGTGTCTCCCCAGTTGCGTCGCTAGGTTGCTGTCATACAGTACGGTAACTCATGGTGTCACCCCTCACCCCCCTATAGATCTCCTCTCGTACCAGACCATACAGAATCTTTAGTAATGTTTTTTGTGCTAATGTTACTCGTAAATTCTAATTCCCGTGTATCACTGAATGCAATGGCAATAGTAATGACATAAACAACTAGCAAAATTAAAAACTACACCTTTAAATTACAATATCATCCGCACAGCTGGGCCAGCCGGGGGCACCCAGGATATCGGGTTATCCAAGGGCACCTGAATCTCAGCTGCAAAAACAAAAAATCAACAGCATTTTAAACCGCGGAGGCTCCGGGAAAGGACCCAGAACACCGCCACTCATTTCCTCCTGGAGAGCTGAGCTCTGCGCTCCCAACATAGACTCTCCTGCTCCCTGGAGTCCCGACATAGGGAAGAGAAGGCGCGAGGGAAGGGAGGTGGGGGCCGGCAGCGTCATCACCCACTGGCGGCGGCCGCAGAGCAGCGGGAGGAGCCGGGCTATGTCTGTGGGATGCAGCGCCAACAGTCCTCGGGAGGAAACAGGATTCTTGCTCCTCCTCCTGAGGCGTCAGGCTCAGTCAGTGGGCGCCGGGGCAGCGCCGGGCTGTGGAGTGACCCTGCTGGCTCTTCTGCAGCCCGGCCGGTGCTAGGCGCCCTCAGCAGCCGCTGAACTTTGTGAGACCTTTAACTTTCCTGCCGCCAAGGAAAAAAAATAATAAATTTCTGCTGAAACACTGCACAAAAATTTTGTAGTCAGTCATTTTTGTAATCACGCCCTCTGCCGTGTCACCCGGTGTGGTCCGCACCCCCCACTCACTCCCCTAGTGACGCCACTGAGTTCCCCAGAAATGATTCTGGGGAGGGGCTCAAGGGGCTGGCCTCCATCTTTACCCACCCACACCTTTCTTTGGAGTTGCTTCTGAGGACTAAGGCCTTTTGACCTAAATCGTATCCTCATACCTCCACGCCAGTTTTACAATTTCGGGTACCCCTGCGTATTATGTTTAGTGTATGGAGACATTCAGGCCTCATTGAAAGCTATTCCTTCCTGGCCCTTACAGTACCTAGAAGGAGCAGAAATAACAAGATTGTGTTCTGTGACAACCTCCACTGCGCCCCCAAGTGCTAAGCAGTGTACGAAAGTGGATCTCCCAGAGGAAAGCTGGAAAAGAATCAGCAATTCTGCCTGTCCAACATCACCCTCCAGTAGAAAACGAAACAAACAACGAAAACAGCTCCACTTGCCCTCAAAAGAAAAAGCAAACCTTGACTCCACTGGGGATCGAACCCCGGATCTTCCGCGTGTAAAGCAAACGTACTAACCACTACACTATGGAACCGTAACAAAGTCACGTGGTGCTCGTCTTCCAATACAAAAGTCACTGAACAAATACATTGGCGAATACCTACAGTTATTTCATTCAAAAGCAGTGACGTCACCAGAGCGGTGCGGGGGGTGCAGACGGCACCTCCTGACACTGTCAGAAGGGGTGACACCAAAATGACCCCAGCGTCCGCGGCGGCGAAGCAGCCGGCGAACCAGCCCAGCCTGGGGAGGGGCCGCCAAGGCAGTGGCGTCACTAGGGTTAGTGTTACCCGTCACCCAGTGAGGTAACTCGTCACCACCACCACTACCCCTGCCCCATCACCCGCCAGTCGGGGTGCGGGCGGCCACAAGCGAGAGGAAAGGAGCCGCAGGGAGCCGCTGCGTGGAGCCGCGACGTGGAGGGGGCGGGGAGAGGCGGCGGGTGGGGCCGGAAGGGGAGGCCAGGCGGCCTGGTTGCGGGAGTGATAGTAACTCTAATCACGCCATTGTTCAAAAGTAGCCCTGGTGGCCCAGTGGTTAAGCGCTAAATTGATAGCCAAAATTTCAGTGGTTCGAATCCGACAGCTGGAGGTTCCGCGGGAGAAAGCTGTGGCAGTGGCTTCCATAAAGATTTACAGACTTTGAAAACCTGTGGGACAGTTCCATTCGACTGGAAGGCAACAGGTTTGATTTGATTCAAAGACAGATAACCTTGTTTAAATATATATACAGAGAGAACTCCAGTGCCAAATTACCTTTCCAGCACATCTTGCACACAATCTACGCTTCTAGGAACATTTCTAGACTAATCTATATACACTCATTCGTTCAAGATTTTTTTTTTTTTTCAGCACCTACCTCGTTCCAAGCACTTGGCGACGTGCTACAGATAGAGCAGTGCAACAGTTAAAAACCCATGCGTGTATGGACCTTACATTCTAGTTCTTACCAAATAACACCTTGAATAAATTTCTCCCTTTTTCCTCTCCACCCCAGGTCTCCTTTTCTATGACACACTATAACTCTGACAAGTCTCCCTTTAGCTTTGGAATGAATTAAACTATGTACTTGGCCCTTCTCTCTAGAGCCTTAGTGAAGAGTTGGCGTTTCCAAAGTCAAGCAGCAGTGGAGGCTGCTTCTTGCAGGCCACTCAATTCTGGTTGATCCTTTGTCTGGCCTCAGCCTCATAGGAATCAGCCTTGGGCTGTTATTGCTGACAATGATTCTCTCTCCCCCTGGTGAAGTTAGAGCAGGTCAGATATGCCTCCACCCTCCAACCTTTTTACCAACTCTGACACCAACCGACCCTTACAGCACTCTTTACTTCTCTGCTGAGTTTGAATTCGTTGCCATGGCCACACAAACTCACAGACCATACTCACAATTATGGGGTTTATTAGGGAAATAGCAGGTTACAATTCAGGTTCAGGAATGCTCAGGATACAGTTCTTCCATCAGGGCAGTCTCTTCTCAGCTGTGCCACAGGCAGGCCTCTCCCCTGGCCCTTGGCCTCTCAGTCTCTGACCTAACCTCTGCCCTGCTTCGGCAAGTGTTACAAAGCTCTTTTAGTTCCACCAGTAAGGACCCGGAGGTGCCCAACTCTGCCTGCAAACCCTGGCCCAAAGGCACTCAGCTCTCTTGCTTCGTAGGCCAGGAAGCCCATTGTGCCGTCTCCTGCCAGTCTCCTGCCAGTCTCCTGCCAGTCTTCTGGTTTTGCTGCTGTTGCTGCTGCTTCTCACCATCTCTAGTGTTAGAATTCTCCCTCTCTGTCCTGGTTCTGCTGCGTCTGCTGCTCCTCTCTGTCTTCCGTGTTACAGCTTCTCTCTCTGTCTCTCAGTGTCTCCCTTTACAGGAAAAACAGGTCATTTCATTAAATACATAATTACATGAAAGTGTGAGGAGGTTTAGATAAAGTAATTGCAGGATGCTACATGAGCACCCTCATCTCCGGAGTTCCTTCCTAAACTGACATTTTGGGTCAGTCTGGACACTAGAAGACACAACTTCAACAGATTGTCATATGAAAAGCCATCCTCTGCTGTCCAGTACACCCCACTAGACCCAAGGCAGTTTTGCCAGGTGTTTCTTTCCTCATCAGAACTCACTGCTTTTATCTTCTTCTCCAAGGATAGCTCGATATTATACCTGATAAAGCAAGAGTCTCCAGAGTCAAATTTGAGTTATCTCCAGTGGGATTGTATGGAGATAGTGCAAATATTTTATAACTAGCCCCACAGTTAACCCAACTGCTGTAATCCAAAGGATACAAAGACAGTAAATATGATGTTGCCCCAGGCCACAGTGAGTTCAGGGAAAAATCATGTAAGTGGATGTAAGGATTGAACCTCTGACCTTGATGGCCCTCCCCCCAAAAAAAATCACATGGGAGAGCTTGTTCCTAACACATTCCTGGGCCCCACCAGCAATAGCTCTGACCCAATAGGCCTGGACCTGAACTGTGTTTTTCCCAAGTGCACTTACCTGATTGTGATGACCACCTTGCTGGGAGTGGGAGTTAGTGGTAATCAACTTTCAGGAGAAAGGGCCCTCTGCCAGGTTTTTGGAGCCAAGCATTCTCAGAATATTCCAGTGTGATGGTCCTCAGTGTTGACTCCACGTTACCATCTGCAAGTGAGCTTTTCCATACACTTATCTTGATGGATCTACACCCTAAATGTGAAAAGAAAATCTATACCCATACATTCATTTTTCTTTTTTAATAGAGGAGGACGTGTTTGACCTAGTAGCAGGGAAAATGACCCTTTAAACATAACTCCAGAAGTACAAACCATAAGGGGAAAAAAACATAAATTTGATTACCATGGGCTGTTAATTTCCTGGTTGACAAAGTCAACAGAAAGGTAAAGGAGTGGTCTAAATATTATAATATTTAGGGTAACATTCAATATTTTGGTCTAAAATTCACAATAGACTAAGATCTATAACATACAATGTACCCCCATGTGCATCAACACAAAAACTGCATCAACCTTAATGAAAACATGGGCAAATGGTAGGAAAAGTCAATGTGCATAAGATGCAATTCAAACACCAAACAAACATATAAACAAATACTCAAAATGTTTAGAAAACATATAAATTCAAAATAAAAAAATGAGATTCATCACTCTACACATATTAGATTACAAAGTAGAAAACTGGATAATGTTAAGAGTTGACAGGGATAAAAGGATACACAGTGTCTATAGGGTCACTATGAGTCAGAATCAACGGCAACAGGTTTGATTTTTTTTTTTTTTTTTTTTTTTGGTGGGAGTGTAGACTGGAGAATAAATTGGGACTAATCAGCCATTTTGCTCTTATGTATTTATCCCACAGATATCTTCGCACAAGTACGTAAGGAAACATGGATGAGGAAGCAGTGTTATTTGGAGCACCGGGACAGTGGAGGCAACGTTTGGGTCCATCGTTGGGACAGAAGGTAGGAAAGACAAGGTGAATGCCCACCATGGGATTTTATACAGCAGTCAAAATCAATGAGCTAATTGGACACTGGTTGATTTTGATGGATCTTAAAGTCATAATGCTTAATAAAAATATATACCATTTATGGAAAATGAAAGTATACATTCACAAAACAGTCAGTTTTGCAAAACTACATGTAACCAAAGTGATACACAATAATGCATTAGAAAGGCTGCTTATGTAAGGAGAGGAATGGCAGTGGGACATGGGGACAAAAGGGAATAAATCTTCCAGCGCTGTTAAGAAGGAACAATTAGGTACAGGCTAGCCTGGGAGGAGAGAGCTGGGAAACCAGGTCTAGGGAGGCTCTAGCACAAGAACTTCTAAGTGATTTCTCATCCCTCCAGGGCCTTGCACTTAGTACATGCTCAGTGAATGCTTAGGTCCTTCCTCATCCTTCTTCATACAGCACAAGGCAGTTATTGAAATATTTCAGAATGGTGGTCTCATCTGTCCTTCCTCACACTAACCTGTTTTCGGTCGAACATGCCACAATTCCTTTTACATGTCCTGTTTGGACATGGAATCTGAGGTTTCCATGGGCTTTCCAAAGGCTGGTCTTACCTAATGGGGAGGTTGTGGGACTCTACTAGGATACTCTCTCCGCCATGCCCAGGTTAGAGGCTCTCACAGCATTCTGTGAGGTTTGTTGACCACAACGTACTCTAGGTTTCTCTTCTTTTGCATCCTCAGTTTTACAATCTGTGAGGACAGGAATCAAGTCTGTTTTAACCCAACAGACCAATAAGCAGAACAAGACTGTGACAAGATAGTGTATCTTACGGAATTTCAAGCTTAAGCAATAGATCTGCTGTTTAGGAGGCCAAAGCTGTCTTTGAGAGATCCTGACGGTGCTGAGTTTGGGCAAACAGAGCCGGGTGGCTGCGGATCTCCTCCGCATCAGCGTATCCTCATCTGCGCCTGCTTTCTTGTGCCCGGTGAGATGAAATAGAGGGAAGCGAGATGGTCTCGCTCAAGTGCGGTGAATTAGCTCAGAAAATAGCTCCGTGGGCTCTGTAACTGGGCGGTAAATGGCAAATTTTTTAAATCTTACTTTCTTTGTCGCTCTCTAGAATATAAACTCTATAAGGGAAGAAATATTTGTTTTATTCACTGTTCTATACCTTCAATACCTAAAAAAGTAGTGACACACAATAGTGGGTCAACATTTGTGGACAAAATGAAATAACGAAGAAATAAACGTAAAATACGTTGCAATATCCAATATTTCCTCTGGGGGGCGATAGTCACCAAGAAATAGGATTCATTCATTTCCATTTGAAACCATTTTAAAACCTGCTTTAAAGAATGTTTTCTTTTCCTTTCTTTTTTTAACATAAAAGTTTCTGCTTTAGTACAGCTTCAGAAACACAGATGTGCTTCTTTTATCATGAAATTAAGTTTAAGTTTCTGGCAAATTGCCACGTTTCACAGAAAAGTTATGAATACAATGTAAGTGAATACCCCCCAAAGGGGCCCTGTGGCTTAGCTGGTCAAAGCGCCTGTCTAGTAAACAGGAGATCCTGGGTTCGAATCCCAGCGGGGCCT